CAATTTGGGTGAAGAGCACTGGGAACTGTCCCTGCTGTAAAAGCTCACGCAACTACTCCTACATCTGCTATGTCTTTCGGCGCAGCATGAGTAAAACTTCCAGCGGACGTTAGGAGGAAGCAGAGGACCACACTGTGCGAGGCAGTGCCTGCTTGTTTCTTCTCCTCTTCCTCCCTGGCTGCCCCGACACATGTGAGGCAAACTAGATGACAAAAGAAACCGGGGGCTGTCTTGAAGCAGACAGGAAACATACCCGAGCAACCCTGCCCTCTTCTTCGGAGCATGAGGGGACACCTCGACCTGCAATCATGCAAATGCTTCCAGTCGCACAGGACTCTGGTCACACCACTGACGTGCCAAAGCCGCGACGGACATCTGGGCACAGGATGCTGGTGCTTAAACACTGACACGAGGAGGCACACAGCCACCCCTCAGGTTTGCAGGGGCTCCCATTTAAGGCCTGCCCCAGTTCTCCCTTGCAGCAGTACAGGCTCTGGACAGGCTCCCTTCGTTCACCTGGAGCGGGTCCAAGCTGACAGTGCTGTGCAGGAGCTGGGGACCAGCTCTGTCATGCATGCACGCACGCACAGAGCCACGTCTTTTCTCCGGTGAACTCTGCTGGCACCCGGCAGGAATTTCGTTTGGATCAACTACTTAATATTCTCCCTCCTTCCTTAGAAACCAGGCTGTAGAAAAATCTTTCCAGCCAAGGCCCCTCCTTTCCTGTTTGAACCACCCCATCCTTCCCTCCCCCGTACACACACCGCAGAAACCCGGCTCTTGCTGGCATCTGATGGATTTCACCTCCTTTATTTTTTTAAATTTAATATATTGTTATTGTTGTTGAAACTTCAGATCAAAAGAAAAATGGAGATTTTCCTGTTTCTGATCTGAGGCTTTGCAGGCCTGTTGCTACTAGCTTTTGCCTTGACAGCTCGGGAGCTGCTTCGCACAAAGGACCTGCTGCTCGCACCAGCCAGGTCCCTCCTCAAGCAACATATGTCCGCAAAATGGTGCATCCCAAGCGCCCCGCTCCCACGACCTCTGTCCTAACCTTCACCCTCACCCTGGACCCCAATCCTTGGCTGCCCACCTGCCCTGCCACGTCCCCATTGCTTGCTCTTGAAGCCCTGTATCCTTTGAATGGGGAGCAGAAGAGTGCGGGAAGGAGAAACAGGGTGGCGGGAAATATGTCAGGGAGGGATAAAGGACTGCACTGAACACGAGCCGCAGGAAACTTGGGCTCAGCAGCACTCCTCCTCCGCCTACTTCCAGCTGACGCAGCAAAGACGATTTTCTTAGGGCTAATTCTGCAACCCCCCTCCTTTCCCCTCCTGGTTATCGTTGGCTCACAGTTTCATGCGGAAACTTGCCAAG